TATTCAAGGTCACAGGGGTCAAATTTGTTTAAAATCTTTAAACGACCTCTTCTGAATAACCATGGGTCCCAGGATGTTGATACTTTGCAAGTTGCATCCTGAGATGAAAGGCTATAAAATTTGTTCAACATAATGACTTTGTTCGACTTTCAATCACAGGGGTGAAATGTTTTTAAAAAAATTAACAGGGTCTTTTGAATGAATTTTAATCATAAATACTGATATTTTGCCTGTAGCTTTATTTTAGATCACTTTTAAGGTTACAAGTGTGAGATTTATACCAGGTGAGCGATGCAGGCCCATTGGGCCTCTTGTTTCCTATAATTAACTAATACAGTTTATGAGTGGGTAGGTAGTAAGGGAAATACCCCCTACCTACCCTGGTATTTTATTTCCTATATCATTTGAAATATTTGTTCTCCACATTTTTTTGTGGAGAAAAGCAGAAAAACTTTTATTAAGTTACAGATCCTTTAAAAAACTTATTCATAATAATCAAGAGGCCAAGGGTCTTGATGACATTTGGCGAGAAGCATGCTTGAATGAAGGGTTATCAACTTTGTTCAGATGAAAGAATGACCTTGAACAACTGTCAATGTTGCGGGGGTCAAATTTTTAAATTTTTAAATGACTTCTGAATAACAAAGAGGCCTAGGGCTAAATTTGTTCAAATTATAGTGACCTTGACCGACTTAAAAAATTTAATTTCAAAACATTTTGACTATGTCTTCTGACTAACCAAGATGCCAAAGGTGATAATGTTTGGCTGGTCTGATTTTGTTCATACTTCGTGGTAAGCAGTATTTATGAGATTACAAATGTATATGATGATTTATAACTAGGGCAAAAAAAAAAAAGTTTGTTTGGTATAGACCAATCAAAAAACGTTTTGCACACAAATAAAATTTTCCTGTAAGAGAATAAGTTACGACGACTAAAATTTAAGCCTTAATTTAACTTTTATTGTTTTAAATTAAAGAAGTTGATAAAGTTAAGTTTAAAAAGTTAATGAAGTTTAATCTTTTTATTGTGGGGTAGGGAGGGGGTTTCCTACCGACCAACCCAAACTTCAATTGGTGGGCCAGTCGATGCCAGACAGAATATTTTAGAGTTTGCCTGATATTGTGAATTCAATTTGCTCAGTGGTTATTGGATTATTTATATTATACTGTTTTGCAAATGTTTTAGTATAGACATTTCTTATGAGTAATGTTCTACTTTTATTTACAGAGAAAACAGAAAGAAGTACAGAGACAGAATGACTTTTATATAAATTTAATACAGAAAGCTCTGCCACCGGAGCTTCAAAGCCAGTATATTGAAAAGCAAAAAGGTAAATATACATGTCACATTGTGATCAAGTGTTATCTATGTGTCTCAGAGTTTGTTAGATTTGAGAATGAACATGAAAGATGAGATAGAAATTACAAATTCTCACAAGTTGAATATCTGCTTTTTTTGAAAATCTTTCATTAAAAAAAAAAAAGCATTTTCCTGTATTTTACACATATTTAAATTCTCCAAACATTCTATGTAAGATGTGATGTCTATGTTTTTCAGTGAAATCATTGAAAAAAAGATAAAGTTATAATTAATGAAATAGCAGCTGTGGGATAAATTGTGGTATTAAAGGTATTTGTTCTGATTTCAGCTTTACCATCAAAATCAGAGGAGGATGTAATCTCAAACGGTGTGGCAGGTGGGAAGAAGTCTGGTAGACACGATGATGAAAAAGAAATAAAGCGCCCAACCAAAGTAGTAGATGAAAACGAAGATGACAATATAGAGTTTATAGAACAAAGTTTGCCAAAGAATTCATCTAAAGCAGATGTCAATAGCTTTGATGAAATTACTGACAATATTTCCAATGACCAACAGAGTAAATTTAGATCATCAAATAGCATTAGCAAGACACAAGTCAGTAAGCTGAACACAAGCAAGGAGAGCAACAAGAAAGGCAAAAATTATAACAAAGAAGCTCCACCAGCTACATTTAGTAATAACAAAGATGAAGTCATTTTAAGGTGAGTACATGCAAACAGAAATCAAGGATATTAATTATGACTAAGGAATAAGAAAATTCCATTTATCTGCTATATTTTGGAAAAGTCTTATAAAAAAATATGAATTGTAAATCTTTATTTTTTTGAATGACTTGTATTTTATTTCACAAGCTATGTAGGTTATTTGCAAATACAAATTGAGAGGATGCTGTTTCAACATTGATAATAATTGTCTCCTCTCTGAGATATTTTATATATTGGTACATCTTTTAGTCATTGTACTGTGATTTGAAAAATGAGACTGAGAATTTGAACTTGTGTTTGGAAATTAGATATCTACAAAACCCAGACCATTGCTTTAAAGTTCAGGTTAACTTCTTAGCTTTGCTTAAACATCAATATTATCTTTACTTCTTTAAACTCTATTCTGCTTGGTCAATCACAGTTTTAAATATGTAAGCAACAGGAAGATATCAATAAAGCCTTGGGGCGACCATTTTAGATCAATTCAAATATAGTCTATTGCCATACTGCCTATGGTCAGTGGAGGTTCAATATTAGAATAATGCCAAATATAATTTATTTGATTTTCAGACTTGAAAATGACGTTAAAAAATTGAAAGCAGACCTGCAGACTAGTCGAAATTGTGAACAGGAATTTAAAACACAGATAGGGTCTTTTATGGGTGGTGAAAAATCCATGAGATCTGAACTTTACCAATTACAGGAAGATAATGAAAGTCTTCAAAATAAGTAAGTCATCTAGGAGAAGAATGTTTAAGATAACCTGTTTATATTGTACAAATTAATTTAAAAGAATTAAAATTTTGTTTTATTCAAATAAAGCAAAATTTTGTTTTATTCAAATAAAGCCATATTAATTGCAAATGCTTAAACATAATTAATTTAATTTATGATATATTTGCCATTGAGATAAGTATTTGGAAATTTCTGACAATTTTTAAAATATTGTTTTTTTGTCATTGATGGCAATTACAACGTAAATAGTAATGCAATTGGAGACCCTAAGTGAGTCATGATCTGGAAAAATGGCAGGTTTATATTGATAACATGTGTTTTATTTTCAAATACCACAGAACCGTGCCTGTGTGAATAAAGAGTTACAGATTTGTATGATAAAAAAATCTTTTTAACAGGAAAATTGTATTTTTTTTCAGACTCCATAATCTTGTCACAAGCAGGCAGCAAGACAAACAGAATATTATGTTACTAGAAAAGAAACTCAATGAGGAAAGGAAAGGCAGGGCAGGAATAGAATTACAATTAAACTCGGAACGGAAAGCTAAGAAGGCCGAGGAGGCAGCAGCAGCACGGGCCGTGGCCATGGCAGCAGCGGCCAGGTACGTTTATGGTATAGTGTCAAGATTCACTCTACAAGAATTTTTTTATCTGAAAGCAAAAATTTTTTTTTTTCAATTTAATAAAATATAAAACAAGGCTGTGCACAATGAAAGCAGATATGATTAATCGTTGTATTGTATGTGTACATTGAACAACACATGTACTTGACAGGTGATTTCAAGGATTTGCATTGATCTTATACACATAAATACCGTAATAAACAAATAAGTGCAAAAGTGATCATTAGATGTTCTCACATTTGTTTTCTTGTCTACACTGTGAACAGAGGCTCTCAACAAGCTGACATTGAAATCGATATTTTGACTGAGATAAATTAACAGATTATATCATGAGGATTTTATCATTGTTTTCTTTGGTTGTGGCCCGAAATGCTTCTGGTTTCCTTCACAAATATCTATGAAACTTTTTACTCAGCAGTACTGTACAAGGGTTTGTTCTTGTAATGTATTTTGATACTGACAATTTCAATAGGAGTTAGTCCTGTTTTCTGAACTCCCTGTATATTTTATATAGTATTGGTTGAAGTACTGCTTATTGTCGTCATGGCCAAAAGTTATGAAAATATATAATAATAAAAAATGTAATTCCTATTAAAAATTTGAATGGTATGTATGTGGACCTCTAGAGTTACAATTTCCTTTGGACTGAACAGAATCAGATAAAGTTTAATTTTAAGAGTAAGTAACAACTACCGGTAGCTAAAGGAACCTAATTTTGACTTAACAACCTACTGAGACAGTGCTTTATTATCATTCCAGGGGTGAATGCACAGAGTCCTGCAAAGCCAGACAGAAAAATATTGAAAATGATATTAAACTGCTCAAACAAAACCTCAAAGTTCGAGAAGAACAATTTCGACAGCTAGAATTTGAGAATCAGGTAATTATTTGAAATTTGAGTGACAAATCTAATGTTCATCATTTTGCAGTCATTTTAAGCTTCATTTACATATTGTATATTTATAAACTGATTGTTTTTTGAAAAAAAAACCACTTTACTAACGTTCTTGAAAAGAGGTAATTGTTTTATGATAGAATATTAATAGTATTCAGGATAAATTAGAACAAGTTTAAAGTACATGTTATAATGAACTAATGTGTTGTGATGTAATATGAATGGTTATGTTGAAAATCACATTGCAGTCCCTTCATCAATATAAAGAGGCACAGACTGAAACAGACGTGCTGATGTCTGCTCTGTCAGCCATGCAGGATAAAAATACACATCTAGAAAACAGCTTGAGTGCAGAAACAAGGATCAAGCTGGATTTGTTCTCAGCATTAGGTGAAGCGAAGAGGCAGATAGAAATACTCAAAAGTAAGTCTCAATTGTTGTCCCAGTGTTTTAAGTGTTGGGTTGGATTCAATGTCACTACTAGCCCTTCATGCATGTTTCTCAGTGTATTCATAATAATGATGGGTCCTCGAGTGGAATATGCTGTAGGAACAGTTGATGTCAGGTTGTCAATAAATATATGTAATCATATTTTATGACCAAAAGAAATTATTGTATTCTGAAAATAACACATGTAAAACTGTTAATTAGTTCTTATATTCCCCACAATGAAGTCAGGGGATGGGATAGGGTGTGTGTGGATGTGTTACGTTATACTGGAATCAGGGTGTCCGTCATTGTCTCCATGGACAGAAGTTTGTCTGAAGTACCAGTTTATTTTCTCCACCAATTCTTTTGAAACTTGACACACATGATCAATACCTTATCTAGTTGTGCTCTGATGATTTATTTTAAAATTGGATGTTATTCTTTGGTTGTGGCCCGAATTGCTTCTGGTTTCCTACACAAATATCTATGAAACTTTTTACTCAGCAGTACTGTACAAGGGTTTGTTCTTGTAATGTATTTTGATACTGACAATTTCAATAGGAGTCAGTCCTGTTTTCTGAACTCCCTGTATATTTTATATAGTATTGTCTGAAGTACTGCTTATTGTCGTCATGGCCAAAAGTTATGAAACTTTATTAAATCACTTTTCCTTATAATTAGATTGCCCATTTTTACAGGTTTTAATGTGAGAGCAGGGAGTTTTAGTTGTGGGTTAAAGTTTCAGTTTGTCATGAATTTCATTCTTTGGTGAATTACAATCTTGCTTATGTTCTTTACCAAAAAATTATAGAATATTCTCCACCTGACATTAGGTTCTGCTCAAGCTGTAATTAAGAGACATGTAAAACAAAGCTGTCAATTACTTCAGCCCCACAATGAAGTTAGGAAGGTATGCCGTTATAAGGTTGTCTGTCTGTAGCAAGATCAGATTCGGATAGCTTCTCATGTTTTCAAAATTTATGGAACCCAACTGATGCAGTAACCACACTCTGAAGTTGCTTTTGTTATAGTAATATGCCCCTTTTTTCAAGATTTTAGGAAATCTTGTCCAGATAGTTTCTTTTATATTTTTATATGGATATTGTGAAACTCTACAAACTGAAATATGTCTTAATTGTGTACTCGTGCACATTTTCCCTTTTTTGTGAAATTTACGACAAAATCTTGTCTGTACAAATACCGTTAATCAAAGTTATTGTTAAATATTCAGATTTAATCCACTCTTATAAAGCTGTGTCCCTATTATTTAACATTGTTTATGTTTAATATTGGAAATATGCCCCGATTCTGATGTCATATTATATTTTGTTCAAAGTACTGCAGCGAACCTGCCAAAATGCATTTGGACCCCTGAAAATAATTTTCATGGTCAATATTGTTTTAAAAAGCATCTGGCTATTGGATTTTTCCATCCTTATGTTTTTTGTCTATTTTACAAAATCATAACCAAAATGCAACAGTTGTTTTTATTTTTAAATTAATTTATTTTTAAAGATTTTGTTGCTGAAAAAGATAAAGAAATTGCTGACTTGAAGTCAAAGGTGACCGAGGCAATGGCCATAAACATGATGCCTTCCTCCACGACAGTGAATGGATGTGGTATGGAGACAACATCAACTTCACCATTATACTCATCAAATTACAAGAAGGACAACAGCATGGTTATCAAATCCAACCTCAACCCTCACGCCACAGACTACACGCCTAAAACTACTAGTATCTAAATAACAGAGCCACTCCTACAGGCAACCTGCATTTATGTTCTGGCAGTTATTTGAACTTTCAAATTTTTGCAACAATTAGTTGTGGTTTTTTTTAAAAAGATAAATGTGAAACTTAATATTCATCAAAGTAGATGAAAATCCTTGTTTACCAAAGTTGTGATAATTTGAAATTTTTAATAACTTCATAATCGATGGAGGTTTGTTCATGGACGTTTGGTTGGGCAGTCAATACTGCCTTATATTGACATTTCACATTTTAGTCTTTATAAAGCTGACTGCCTCCCACATCTTTTATGTTGTTCCGTTATTCTGTATGGTTACTACAGTTACAATTGTAGCAGTATTTTGAGATAAAATATACATTTGTATGTTTAGTTATTAAGTATCTTGAATCTATTCAGTTTGTTAAGGGTATGTGCTATTTTACCCTATGAAAAGTACAATGGCTTAATGAGGGTTAAGATACTCTACAGATGTCACTATGTTACATTATAAAACTGCCATATTTATGTTGAAGATTTGAGAGAAATCTGTCTCGTACTTGCATGAAGGACACATGCAAAGCCTGTGAGATTTTGTTTTACCTGTATTCTTATCAAATTATTTACCATCAATTCCATGAACTGGTTGTATTTGGCTACTTCAAACTTTTCTTTTATCATTTAAAGCAGCAACATTTTATATGGCATACTTGTGATTCAGCCTGGGAGGTTTCTCACATATCATTTACTGAAATGGTATGCCTTGGCTAGCAAGATTGTTATAGATTTAAAATGATCTTTAAGCTATGGTTCTTAAGTATTTATCATACAATATTATATAAACTAAAGACTGCCACACTTGATATCATTTACTCTCATTGCGAAGATATAACACATAAGTTGAATTGCAAGTTCAGAAATCCATCTATTTCAATCAACACAGTAGATCTGTGGATTGAGCTAAATTGAAGATACTCTTGTTGAGAAACTTAGCAATTTCTATTTTACTGTTCGATTCAATGTTAAAAAAGACTTGCTTGGATATTGAAGTAGGCTTGTTGTGTTAAAATCTATTACATATACCTTGAATATGTATTGAAATTTATTACATACTTTTGAAGCCTTACCTTAGTGATACAGGCCATCAGATAAAGAATGGTATCACACACGTGTATTACAAAAATCTGTTTAATGCAATAAGAACTTATTATCTACTGAACAAATATCAAAAAGTTTTGGGCATATTTTGATGATATCATGGAATTTTTTTTTTTTTCAAAAAGCACAAGTTTCTATTTGACCTTGCTTACTAGTTCAGACGTCCACATCCAGTTTATCCATGGATGTGTTCATCTGAACATCTGAACAAAGTACGCGTGTCGGCCGTGAGGTCAGATAATAACTTTTGATTCTGTTAGGAACTATTGTTACTATCAGCTTCCAATGTTACACCAACCTCTGAATATATTCGGAGCCGCTGTTTTATTTTCTACTTACCAGTGTTGTTGATGGCGCAATGGCCTCAATTAATGTCATTGATGTGACAGTCTTTTACACATATTAATTTAAATTTTAAGCTGGGTTTTTCTTCAAAATAGAAAAATTAACTGAACAGTACATTTTTACATAAACTTTTTAACCCTTCGAACCGGTCTTCAATCACCAAGTATCGACCAGTACATTGTTTTTCTTAGGGTGGGGTGGGGTAAACAATCTGTTTCAAAATGTCCTCTTCTATCATATTTCTGATAAAATATCTTGTATGGTAGATACATTTTGATATTGTTCTTTATATTGTTCAGTATTTTGTGTTCCTACTACCAGGGTAGTTAGTTCTTTGACAGTTTATACTGTGAGACATTTAAATTGTATTTTATTTTTCTATTTTCAACAAGTTTTTAAACAATACAGATTATTGCGTTTTAATAGCCACTAAAAGAAACTAGAGCCATCATTTCCTACCTTTTTACATGTGTTAGCTCAATGTTTTTTTTTAAAGAAAACAATAAATTTCAATCATAAAACATTGAAGGCTTTTCACAGAGTATTACCGGTTACTGCTGAAGTTAAGGTAATTTTATTTTTGTTTATTTTGAAGTCGGACAGAAAAAGGTTTCGGTAAGAAAACTAGTTATGAATAGGAATGATCTACACCTTTAAAATGCATAAAAATCACCTGTTTGTTGGGTGTTTGGTCTACTCCTGGTCATAGAATCACATCAGTACTATTATTTTGCTGCAACTAATACATTCATTCAACCTTCCTGTTTTTGCCAAGGTTTCAGCCTTTCTTCCTGTTTTTGCCAATGTTTCATGGTTAAAATTATTTTCCACTAACCTTCTTAATAATGAATTGACACAGTTACAACTAATTTATCAGGAACAAAACTTCAGCAATGTATTTAAAAGACTTGTTTGATAATTACAGAACAAATTGTACTTGTCATGATCCCAAGATGACCATATTATACAGATTCTATTTTAGTTATCATTAACGCTAACACTATTAAATTTCTCTCAAACCTCAAGTTATTCCCTCTATAAACATATTCTATAGTGATTTTTTTTTTATGGTAATTCGTCGGAACAATTATTTCTTAGGCTACTTTGAAGGCAGGCGTCCGCTCACTTAAAATGCTTATTAGGTATTGTTTTGTAATCCCATGGTATACATCTGTGGTATGTTTTTGCTTGATGTACTAGTTTTTGTGTGTTTACACATTTATTGTTATAGTAACTTGATGAGAAACATGATGGTAATGACATTGTCAGTCATTGTATTTCTAGGCCTAGAGCCGATGCATGACAAGTCTGTATTGTACGGAAGGCTTTTCAACAGACATTAGTCTCGTAGAGGGCTGCTTTTTTTGCTGGTAAAGTAAAAAAGGTAAGAAAAGAAAGATATTACTAAAAGTGCCCTATCTTGCTGCCAAGATTAAAAGCTAGCAATTTTACTTGTGTTTCTGTCCTCTGTTTCACCATGGCGACATCATCGGACACATTGTTTTCACTTGTATATATTAAAGTCCCCAACAGACTCTAATTGCGACTACTACAAGATGTTTTATCAAAATTCATAACCAACAACTGGTAAAATTCTAACATCACTTAAACCAGAAATGACTTAAGTGATTTTTTCATATTTAGTTGACAATAAAATTCAGTTAAAGTAACAGTATTTCAACAAAAAAAATAAACCAACTGTTCAAGAGTGACTTGCAGAAACCAAATTGATAACTGATTAAGCATTTTTTAAACTTTGAAAAGAAAGATATATAGACAGGGCTTCTGGCACTGTTAAAAAGATCAAAGTGCTCTATGTATGTTTTCAAATTTAAGTCAAGATGCCTGCATCCTTTTGTTTCTTGCAGAAAAAAATAACACAAAAATAACTCAATTGCACTTGCAAATTGGAGTATTTATTCTACATGTATACAGACCATTTGATTTCTAGAGAAATTAAAAACATTTTATGCAGTAATATCCTCCAGAAATCCACTGTACAGTTGATTACCCTGTGCTTATTATGCAGGTTAGTTTTCAAAGCAGGTCCACAAATGTATCATTAAATGCTAGATAACAGGATTTACGATATGAATAGTTTGAATGTTTACACAATGATGAAATAAAAACTGATATCAACAACTCTTCAAAACACAACATTGAAAAGTGGGAACTCTGCTTTATCTGGCTGTAAAAGATCCACAAGAAACAAGACAGTGCCAGCCCATCCTTCATATAGACTAAAAGGCGTGTCAGGGACGCTGGCTCCCTTCTGGAATTCCTGTGTAAACATGAATTCTGCAAATTTGAGGGCCCTGTACAGATACTTCTTGTCGTCGGTGAGTCTGTACAGCAACAGGAACACATAACCACTTCCAGCTACGCCATGACAGATACCTGGACCCTTCCTCAGCAATCCTTTCTGCCATGTCAGCTCCCCACATCTCACACAAGCCTGAAGGTACTTCTCATCTCCCCATACCTTATAGGCACGAGCAAACAGGTAGACAACACCTAGGGCGACACAAGAAAGTCTTATTACCCTAGGGCGACACAAGAAAGTCTTATTACCCACTACACTTTAAAAGGCAAGGACAAACAGATAACTAACTACAGGAGACACTTATTGGCATATGCAACATGGTTAAAGTTCTTTTATAGCCTTGAGCGATTTAAATCTTCTGTGTAAACAGTGCAGATATATATAAATGTGCAAAGCAATATATATTTACATTTTGTATGCACATAAATTGAATCATACATAGTATAGTATTCTTATAGGTTTGACAATATATCTGTAGATGATTAATTTATTAATTTTTGCTTTATTTAGTGTAGATTGAAAAATCTTGGTACAATATTATATGACCCAGTAAAAATACAGTTTAACCTGTCTAAATAGAATATGACTGGGTCTGAAATATTTGGTCAGTTTATACAACGAGGTCCAAGGGCCTTAGCGGTCACCTGAGATATATCATAGGTACTGGTAGCTTTATTTTATTGTTTAGATATGGTGTGGAAATCAGCATGTAAACTAAGTGAAATACAATACTTGTCATGTCATCAAAGGATAAGAATTTTAAAATATTGTTAAATGTTCCCTTTTGGGCGCGCCCTAGCCCCTGGGGATGGGGCAGGAATCCCAATTTTACAATGTAATATCCTCATCCACCAAAGATGATTCTGAATAATTTTCTGCTGAAAATGGATAAAATTTACCCCAAAGTGTTATTTCCCTATATAAACTTTATCCCCTCCCCAAGGGGGAATGCATGGTTCAGGGGTCCTGAAATTGACAATTTCAATAAAGCTGCTGATGATCTTTCTATTCATGCACTGAAATTGACTGTAGTACCTCTGAGTCTGGAGAAGAAGATTTTTGAAATATTGGTAAATTTTCCCTTTGGGGCCCGCCCTGGCCCCTAGGGTTGGGGTAGGAATCCCAAATATTACATTTTAAAACCAT